CCACTCTTATCATATCATCGGGATCAACAAGAGTATTGATGTCCGAAATAGCTGCGAATAGTGTTTCTTCAATATTTTCGATCAATTTCTCGAGTGAAGTAATCATTGATTCTCCATCGTAATTTACCTCTAAAGTACGTACAATTTCGATATAATTCCATTCTTCATTTCTCCTTTCGGTTGTCGATAACAAACGGTAATCCAGCATGATATTTACAGTTATTTTTTATTTTTATATTTTTAATTTTTTTGGGATTTTACAATTTTATGTTTTTTTTGTTTTTTGAAAATTTTAGTTTTTATGATATTCAATTCAAAGATTAACTGGTTAATAAGGCGATCAATTTTGAAATAAGTTGAGTTACAATTCAAGGTATTAAATTCAGAAAAACATTAAAAGAAATGAATTAAATGAAAAGTTTGCATAGCAAGTGATAGGTTGACAGAATACAAAGTAATGTGGATAAGATAATAAACAGTTAATCAGGGATATTGGATAAATTGATCTAGAATGAATTAGCATGGATAAAAACATAAAGTATATGGATTCAGTTTACAAAGTTAATGGAAATTTTTGAACGATGTTAAATCCGTAGGAGACCAAATTTATCGTTTGCGTTTCTGTGAAATAAGAGAAGCTGGGTGAGGAACTTCTTTCAATAGATTATTGGTATGAATTCCTGATACGAGTTGGAAACAATCTGATCTGTTTTCATTGAGCACGTCAATGACTTTATCTTTCAAAGTGAGATCATTTTTAATCTCAGAAAAGTAATCAAGAATATAATCTATAACTGTCGTTCTTGATTTCTCAAAGAAATTCAAAACTTTAGCAAAAAGATTTTTAGCTTCTTTGTCCTGAGAAGAGCAAAGAAAAATATCTTCAAACCACTTCTCACAAACTAGATCATATTGTTTGGTTCGCATACAAGAATGTTCAACTGGGCTGAGAACTTCTATTTCATTAGTTTTGCCCTTTTGATTACATCCAGAGCAATTTTTTTTCAGTTTTTCTTTCGCTTCAAGGTAAAGACAGTAGACAACGCAGGTTTCTAAAATCTCTTTGCAAACTTGTGCTTCTAAATCAAAGTTATCAATGAAAAATAACATGGCAGGGGTAATCTTCATTAGAAGATTTATTTCAGCTTTATTCAACATTATCCCTGAGACTTTATCCTTCTCGAGTAAGCAAACGTAAGTGTACGAATAATCCTCGAATTCGTCTTCAAATAATTGAATAGTTCGCCGATAATATGCGTTATTTGAGAAAGATCTCTCGCTGTCTTGGTTTAGCAATAGCTCATAAAGTTTTCTTAATTCACCAGCTTTGATCCTTATTCCTGTTGGTGTCCAAGTACCATCCTTTTGCCAAATCCTTAAATCAATACTGAACCAAGTCTTAGGCTTGTCCTCATCATCAGTGACGTCTGAATTCTTTCCTCTTATCAATCTTATAGATTTGGTTTTATGTTGAAGAGCAGCTGAGCCAACTGACAACAATGAAAACATCAGATTGTCAAATTCCATTCTACTATTTTCCTGAAGAACCAAAACCTTGACTTCCTCTTGTAGTAGCTGAACAATTAGATATTAGAGTTGAATTACAACGATAATATTTCTCAACGATGACCTGTGCTATTCTGTCACCTTTTGTAGCTGTAAAAGTTTCAGAACTCAGGTTAAAAAGAATAACTTTTATCTCTCCTCTGTAGTCAGGATCTATAACTCCTCCACCGACAATGATTCCAGATGAAGCTGCTAACGATGAACGTCCAGCTACACGACCGTAACAACCGTCTGGAAACTCTAAACAGATCCCAGTACGAATTACAGCACGATTTTGAGGTTCTATGAAGAAAGATTCAATGCAATGTAAATCAAATCCAACTGAAAAATATACAAATCTCGGAATGATCGCCGCTTCGTCTAATAGTCGAACCTTTAAAGACATAAAGAAAAGCTGGAAAAATAATGCTATAGAAATTCCCAAACAAAGATAATTAAAACATCAAATAAACCAACATCTCAAAAGCAGTTGTACTCCCTGCTATATTGACTTTACATGGACAAAAATAATCAAAAAACAGCTTATCATTAACCAAAAATGGTTATTATGGCTATCCTAGAGCCAAGACCAAGCTATAAAGCCTATGGATTTCTATTTAAGGCTATCCTAGAGCCAAGACCAAGCTATAAAGCCTATGGATTTCTATTGAAGGCTATCCTAGAGCCAAGACCAAGCTACAAAGCCTATGGATTTCTATTGAAGGCTATCCTAGAGCCAAGACCAAGCTATAAAGCCTATGGATTTCTATTGAAGGCTATCCTAGAGCCAAGACCAAGCTACAAAGCCTATGGATTTCTATTGAAGGCTATCCTAGAGCCAAGACCAAGCTATAAAGCCTATGGATTTCTATTGAAGGCTATCCTAGAGCCAAGACCAAGCTATAAAGCCTATGGATTTCTATTGAAGGCTATCCGAGAGCCAAGACCAAGCTGTTTAGCCTTTGGTTTTTATCAAATTAGCATTCATTGCCTGAGATATTGGTTTAAGCGATGTTTTACAGTTAAAGTATACGAGATACTCACCTAAAAAACATGATTTTTCTAGCCTTAAAACTTCGTTTTATATACTTATGCTATTTGTACAAGTTACAACCCAAAAAAGTATACTGATATTAGATTGGTCAAAAATGAAAACATTTAACAAAAGTCTAGCTTTAATAGCACTTATTTTTATCTGCCTACCAACCATAATATTGTATTTCACTATATTAGCAAACATGAGATCTGAATACATTAGTCTTTGTTATTCTTGTTATCCATTGTTATGCAAATGTGTAGCAAAGCAAGCTGTAGCTGTAACAGTTTGGCTAAGAAATGTTTAACAAGGCTTAAGATTTTGTCGAAAATTAGATTCTTGCACTTGCAACAAATAATTAACTGCACCATTACGTTCCTCAATGCTTCAATCATTATCATAATCATCTAAAAATGCATGGAGATCAACCATCAAACCTGAGATTGAAAGGTGCAATACAGATCTACAAGCAATTAACATGTAAATTGAAGTCAGTTGAACTCAGTTCATAAGCTATTCAGGATGAGTGCAGACATTATTCTGTTATACTAACTATACAGTTATCAAGAACATCATTTGAGCTAAATAATATTATATTATTGATAAATATTGATGAAGTAATTGCTGAGTTACTGAGGCATCTTTGAGGTTGATTTTCGTTTGTAATTAGAAAAATAAAAATTGATAAATGCTTAACTGGCTAAGCATTAGTAACCATACATGTTTGTTATGTTATGAGTTAGTTTATGTGAGTAACAAGGAGTCTTTTGCATGATTCAGAAACTGAATCGAGTGATCCGTTGAAAAGTTATCCCAATTTAACCAATGACTCACCTTCGGCGGTCAAAATTGTGTCATTAACAGAGCCATCGTTACAAATGCTAAGTAAGATGTAAATGCATCAACAGTTAGCTCTCTTTACGCTTAATCTGCAAAAAATAAAAGCATTGAACTTCACCCATAGATCAACTGAGTTACAGGCGAAAAACTGAAGTCTATGGGGAATTAACATGAAAAATTGACACCAAAGGTCCAAAATCGTAAATACAGCTAAGACAAGCGGAAAAAATTTTTTATGCTCATAACTAGTTAGTACAAACATGTAGATAACATAAATTTAGTTGTATGCCATTGGATTGTCGAGTAAGGCGCTACAGAAATGTTTAAAAATGAAAATTTGGTGAAAACCTGGAAGAGGTTAATGGCTATGGAGAGAGACTGTAAACATGATTGAAGCCAACTAACTAAAGAGTTGTTAAGAGCATAAATAGAGCTCCCCAAAAATGTATAATGAACGAGTATTGATGAAGTAGATGCTGAATGGAAAAGGTATCTTTTAGGTTAATTATGGATCGAAGTCAGTGTGATGAAAATTGAGTAAATGCTTTACTCTTCGAAGATAAATTACGACACACGTTAGTTATGTTATTAGTTAGTTTATGTGAGGAAATAGAAGAAGTTTAATCGTTTCAGAACCTGAATCAGATGATTCTTTGAAAAGTTATCGCAATTTAACCAATGAATCAACTTTTTTAGTCAAAATTGTGGCATCAACAGTTCCTAAGCTACAAATGCTATTCAAGATGTGAACCAATCATATTGTAGCTCTCCTTACGCGCAATCTGCAAAAAATAAAAGCGTTGAAGTTCACCCATAGATTAACTGATATACAGTCGAAAAACAGAAGTCTATGGGGAATTAACATGTAAAATTGACACCAAAGGTCCAAAATCGTGAATACAAGTTAGACAAGCAAATTAACATTTTTTATGCTTATAACTAGTTACTACAAACGTGTAGATAACATTAGTTTCTTTGTATGTCATTGGATTGTCGAGTAAGGCTCAAAAGAAATGTTTAAAAATGAAAATTTGGTGAAAACATGGAAGAGGTTAAGGGCTAGTCGTTTAAACTTGGTTTGGGGAGAATCCAATCATCCTCCAAGGTCATACATTTGACTTTTCGAGAATCCCAGATTCCATTGTTAGCATGATTTGATTCTTTTGTGATCAAAAATAAGGCTTTTGACCTACATTACTTACATATGTCATTTTATAAGGAGTGAGAAAATGATCTTACAAGGCTTTGTTGCTAAAAAATCCAGGTAATAAGATGGTCCTGGTTGTTCTGTTAAAATAGATTCAAGTTTGCTGATCGTGACATTCACTTTCATTTGAATAATATCTTTTCTCAAATGAGCTACAAATTAGTTGAATTTATTTCAGTGATTTAACAACATTGCTTATTATAAATAAACAATTTTGCATCTTTTGCTCAAGCTTCATTGTTATTAACAATTTGTGTTTAAGTTTTTCCACGTCAACATGAACACAGTTATCCCGAAAAAAACGCGAACAACAACAACACCAATGGTAACATCTAAGAGATTGCCTGATAAAAGCATCTCAATGCCGATTTTTGCTTCCTCATCCAATTCAAACATACAAAACAATCCTAAAAACCAACAACAACAACGACCTGGAAAGGATATCAATCACATGAAAAGAGAAGTGAAAGGAGGCAAACATCGAAGTGGTTTATCAGTTCGTATGGATCGCAAATTTTTGGAATTGACCGAGTTAGTGAGAAATGTTTTGAAAATTACATCGCGTTTAGCATGTGACATTGAAGAAAATAAGAAAAGTCTAAAAGATTGTAACATCATGACGGTTAAAATCATGGAAAGTGTTGTTGAGCAAAAACAGATACTGAAAAACATCCAGCTTTCATATGAAGATGCCTCTGAATCGGAATCAGAGATTGATGCTGATGATGAAATTATTAGTTTTGAAAATGAAAAAGATAAGTAACTCTTGTGTCAAAATACAGTCGACTGAAACAAATGAATGATTAATGATGAAATGAGCTGAAAAAAGATGAATTCAGACTTGCAGCGGTACATCAATTACTGGATCAAATTCATCAGTATTCCCATTTTCAGATTTTTCACTCTCCAGATTTATCAAATTAGTCTCCAGTTTTTTCATCTGCTTCAATTTTGGTTGTTTTCGTCCATCATCATCAATTGTCTGTAACAAGTATGCAGGTTTATATCATTAATAATAAATACGTAAACTTATAATTTGTCATGTTTTTACCTTGTAAGTTTTTTGTCTCATCAATTTTACAATAAACCATAATTTGCAAGGAACAATACTGAAGATTATTACCGTCAATAGAATTAACAGCAAAAGTAACATTATTTTTAAAGCTTTGTCAGCTTTAAAATCAAACCAATCAGTATTGAAATTATAAATTCCCTTGAAAATTGAGGCATCACTTATATTTTGACTTTTGATTTCCAATTGCTCGTTGAATGATGATGTTGATGGATTAGATGGTTGACGTGAAAATCCGATATCTTCATCCATTGGAGCTTGAAAACCTAAAACAAATTATGATATTAAATAACATATTTTTTGGAGCTGCTGTTGCTTTAATACTTACAACACTCGACAACAAAAACAGTGTTGTTACAGTTGAAGGTCAATTTACACTCTTTTAGAGTGTTAACTTGAATATCTTTTCCGACAATCCTGTATCTACATGTCTCTGGATGAACTTGTATTTCTGATACACAAGAAAAACGAGCTTCTCGTCCTACTAGTAGAGCTTGATGAAGAGACATGAAAAGATATTAATTATCAAGTTTCATATAAATGCATAACAAACGCTTACCAATTTTTTTTTTGTCGATATTTGGAGCGACGTTGAAGCAACAATGAAATTGTATCAAAAAGATTACAGTAATTTTCACAATATTATTCAAGTGATTCATTTTTAGTAATTTTCAAAGATAAAGACACAGGTAACAACAGTTAAAACACAAGGGAACACATTGATTGAAAGGATAAGGAAATCCGTTTCTTTAACTTGGTTACCTTGGTTTACATTGAAAAGGAGCGATTTTTGAATCAACTTAAATTTGGACCGATCAGCCTTTCAAGAGGCGGAGCGGTCCAAATGTATAGTATACTACTTATAATTATTAAGCTTCAAAGTTCAAAAGATTGGCGAAGCAACCCAGAAACGTCATAAACTCACGAAAGCTAACTCTTCACAAAGAATACGCCTGAAAGATATTCCTGGAAACTTGAAATTCGAGCTCATTACTCGCTCAGACTACACGAACTGAGGGCCGAAATTTCAGATCAAAATATGAGGTAATCTTGAATATTCTGATAAATATAAAATCAAAGCCTCAATTTGTTAAAACCAGGGTTTAAATAAGGGCTGTAGCATAAGCTTTTTATTAGATATATTAAAGTTTAAGAAATGTTTTTACAGAAAATAATTAGTAATGTAATTCTATTGCATAAATTGAATGAATTCAATCGCCATTTTCAAGTGGCTGCTCATCCTGATGTCTTTCCCAAGTGAAGCCTCCATTAGCCTTTGAAGCATCATGCATCTGTTTAACCTTTGAGTAAGCAAATGGAGCTATGAATCCCAATCCAATGCCGACAAACA